TTATGACTGTAATAGTTCAATACAATAATGTCGATAAGACTGTACTAATGATAATAGTAACTACAATAATGATACTGTTAATGGTGCTTAAAATACTGATAATGCCAATAGTAACGAAACCGATGATCAGTGATCAAGAATTGATCATCAGAGGATTGCAGATCGGATCGTTTGTGTTCATTGCGTGTAATTTCATCGCAAGTATATTCGGTGCATTAGCCGTGGACCGATTTGGACGACGACCGTTACTGCTATCATTCGCTTTGTGCAATACACTATCGTTGTGTGCGTATTGTGTTTTCGATCGAATCGCGTTCTATGTTGACGAGCAATTCAAGTACGGATGTATTGCGTCGTTGATCGCTTATGGCATCACTTTCGGGTTTGTGTCACACTCGTCACTTTGTGTTCAAGTTATCTGCATAGTTGCTTGCACTCGATAGTATCAGCTGCATTTTGCTGTTGCATATTCATAATCAGCTATATGAGCCCTACAATATGACATGCATCTCATCCCGAAACGTGGGGGTAAGTTCGTGACCTTCCCTTGTTAGTGAGTCAGCTAGATCAGCGATGGAAACGCCGCACTCGTTGACTTATCCCCATTCGTTTAGAAACATAGCAGCCAAATAATGAGACAGACTTAGAGTCAACTTCAGTTTTGGATATATGTTTAAGTTTGAGTTTGAGTTCACTGCAGTTGTTGTCAGATTTTCTCAGATTGCTAATTCCGAGCAGTAATTCCGATTTCGGCTGACGTTACTCTTGATGTTGAGATTAAGGATTAGTATTATGGGTAGCCGAGATTGATCCATGATGCGTTTCCTAGTGATCCTTTTATGTAAGCACCACTTCATTGTTTTCATTACTAGGATCAGCAGAAATCATACTTGCAGCTAAACAACGATAACGCCTTACTAATGAGATTCCCTCACCTTCGTTACAAAATATTTCATTAAATTTTTCGAGGACTACTTTTATCGCACAACATTTTCATAACCAAACATCTTCACTAAGCGTTTCAATAGTGACCTCTTTATCGAAACGAATTCATTTCATTTCAGTGGAGGACTAGGACCGATTGCATTTTTCATCACCACAGAGTTGGTACCACAACAGTTTCGATCAGCTGTTCAGTCGATGGTTTTCACAACGAATACAGCCGTCAATTTCGTTTTCAGGTTAATTCCGCCGTCATCATGCCCGGTGATAACCTTCTGCGACTAACTTCTCTCAGCAGCACTATGTGTGCTTAATCGACCGATCAAAACTCTCATCGATCTTTTCAGCTTGGTCACATTGCCATTGTATGACGCGATCGATATTTGGAGTCTTATTCCACTCTTTATTGGGCCATCGTTTGTCGCCTGGATATATCTACTGTTCAAGTTACCCGAAACGAGAGGCCGTGAAATTCACGAGATTGTTCGTGAACTCGTTGGCACTAAGCATGAAGCCGATTTCGATAGCAATACCAAATCATCCTCACCGTCCAATTCTATCAAAGACCAGAGTGTCTCTTTTGGTAATAATACGGAGTCAAGTGACTGCACCAAACAATCGCAAGTGAACACTTCAGTGGATTCGACTTCTTAAAGAGTTCTAGTAGCGGTAACACTAGTGGGAATGTCAAAAATCAGCACATACATACTGAACCATTTTCTTGGGGACGATTGCTTAGCAGTTTGTGATGAATCCAGGGACTGGAGAGACTAGAATTGCGTGCCTTTCATGTGTGAGCACCGTGCCCAGTTGCGAGCGATTTCCATATGCTCAGCTCGTTCAAGAGACTGCTGAAACTTTCTGCTCACGAGCAGTATTCCACATTAGCAATTTCACTGAAGAAACTGCAAAGAAAGTGTATTTGAATGACTTTTGAATAAGAAATGTGAAATAATTTATGGACATTCGTTGTCGACATTCTAACCATCCTAACCAAAAAAAAATTTTCTCGAATGCGAAATTCTTGTGTATTGCGCTGATTTCTAGGCATAGAACTGATTTTTAAAAAAAAGTTGTGTGTATATATGTATGAAGCAATTAAATGATTGCATGATTTTGACTCGTTGAGAATGCTAATTTAATTTGCTTATTGATTTGTCATTAATGGTTTGTTATTTTGCTTTATGTTATATACATTTTGTATCATCGACGACAAGAAATAACCTCATTTCATTCCGAATAAAGTACTTCACTAGGATTGATTCATTTGGTCGTCTTTGTGCACGATCATTCAGTTGATCAACATTGATCAATATCATTGATCATTGGTCATGATCAACAGATCAAATCTTGATCATTAACATCGATATGCTTATCATTACTGAGCCGTCTTACTAAACCCTCGTATCACTAGTTATATCACTACTATGCTCATCATGACCATTGAAAATCCCTCGCATTCGACTCAAGTTAACGAGCTTAGAACTCGGCTCATGCTTGGCTAATAATCAGAAATGATCCATAAGGGAAGACAATACTGTTCAGTGAAACAAATCCCCATATAATGTGCAATTTCGTCGAATGTCTTGCAATCGTAAGAACTGCATAATATGGAAATTTATGTCTGCAAAGAAATGCATATTGAAAGTGTTTATCGTGTTTCGAGGATATTTATGTGAGTGTGTGATTGTGATGTATATGATAATATTAAAACAACAACGCAAGAGCAATTGTTAAATTGTACCCGTGGGAGCAAAGAAGCACAAATGAATCCGCAGTCTGATGTCTTTTGTTCGAGTGGAAGCTGTGCTATCTTGATTAAACTCTCTCTGATACATCATATGATTCTTTCCAAAATATTGAACTTGTTCACCCAGATTGCATGAAATTTTCCAAATTTTTTCCAAAATTTTCCAAATTCCTGGTTAAGTACTTTATTTGAAGTATTTTATGGCATCAAGAAGCATATTCACGATGGAGAGCTGCCTGCCTTCTCAAAATGCTCATTTCANAAGGCATTCAAAAGTAAAAAGAAATGAAATAATGCGAAAGCATATCCACACAATTGTGCAAGTGTATTCGTTCGGAATATGTATGTGATTGTTTGTGTTTGCATTAGCCTTTGCTGGCTGGGTTTGAATGGAAAGGCGACCGAAAGGTTATTGTCATGTTGGTTGGAATTGATGAATAACTTTCTCATCTCAAAATCGTTGTGCTGCTTCTGCCCGTCGTCGTCATAAAAGTTAAATAGGAGAGCGGCAAGCTCCACAGGGAATTAACACTGTGATATGAACCGAATCCACAAATCTAAAATGTACGCCTTAAATACGCACCCACATCTGTGCTCCGGCTCTCGAATGCTCATTTATGCGCTTCATTACTCCAATTGTCGTTCATTATCTCTATTCTGGATCGTCATCATAGAACTATAAATGTTCAATATTATTCTTTCGAATGATTCACTCAATTGTTGATTTTTGATTGCTTGACTGAAATTGTGGTGAGTTCGTTCAAAAGATGAAGTTACACGTCGTCTCAAGTCGAATTTGAGCTTAACGCACATGACTTCGTCCCTTGTGAAGAAATTATCAAGTTATCTCATCGCTTCTCTTGTTCCTT